TTGTGTACCCTGGGAATCGATGTTATGCGAAGTATGTGGACGCAAGGTGTCCGCGTTGTCAATTTTTATCGAGTGAAATGTTACGAAGTGGCGCAAGATATGTACAAATGTACGCAAAAAGTTTAATTAAACAGCCGCATATGTTTTATAAAACCAGTTGTTTATAGTTGCGTAACGATGACAACAGCAACATGAAACACGGATACTAGCACCACCAGAAGTGGTAAGCTGATATGAAGTGCTTGTTCTCGTGAGGGTGCTACTCGACACTACTAGATAAATGAGCTTCAGTGGTTGGTGCCTCACAAGAACTTACAATAACCAGACATGACAGCAGTACCATAGAAGTACATATGAATGTTCATAAAACTGTATAGCGAGCACAGAAACGCCAATTGACGTTTCACGAACATTAGGGTGTATTTAAAAATGATTCTCATACCTGACGTGGCTGTGTGGTAAAATACTTTATTGTCACGCAGTATGCTGGGCTTCAATTCCTGCTGGCCCCATGACATTCGTTCTTTGCGTTCGTAGCGTCCATGGTGCAAATGCCAGCTATTTCTTGATGGGGTCCTGCTACGCTTTTTGAGCATGGTTACAAAGCGCTGCCGATCAATAGTAGAGGGTCCCGGCAACAGGCGACTCAAAAATTATAGCGCAGTACGTGGCCTAAAATCCACAATAAATTATCAAAGTCAGCTGAAAATCGCTTTCTCTCCTCTCGACAAATCACGGAACGTGCCCGAAAATTACACGCAGCAAGCCCATGTATCAGCCATTGGCTGTTTTGAACATGGCGCGCTCGCTCGTTACAGAGATCGCCGCGGGAGGCCGCTACATGTCGACGCGTGCAACTGCAAAAGCCGGGCATTTGAGGTAAAAAAAAATGGCAGCATATCCACGGGGTGAATGATGGAGAGTGGGGCAAAGCATCCGTCCGTCCATTCGTTCTTGCTTCCGTCCGTTCATGCGTCTGTCTGTGGGACAATCCGTGCGTGTGTCTGTTCGTGTGTCCACACGTCCATCCGTGCGTTCGTCCCTGCGTTCGTCCATGCATCCGCCCCTGCGTCCATCCATGCGTCCATCCGTCCGTGCAGCCATTTATGCATCTGTCCTTGCATCTGTCTGTGTGTCTGTTCGTCCATCTAGTCAACACTCCAAGTACCACCATATCGCATCTTTTCATCATATATTCCGCATATACAAGCACCACCATCCAGCGGACACTCCAAGGACTATATGAGAGGTGGCACACGCACAATTTCTGACGGCTTGCGCTTCGTGTCTACTTCCCACCTTTAACCACCTCGAGTTCATGGTATATACTAGTTCACTGTATTCATGGCACTGCGGCCCAACGCTCGCTAAACCTTTCTAAAAGCAAGGAGGTTACGCCCAGCGAGTGGAACGTAGCAACCCTTTGTGTCAGATAGTGCTCAATGTACATGCCAATGGCTGCTAATGGGGAATGAGAGACAGGAGATTTCGGCTTTTAGTTAACGTGCACGCTGCGAATTTTTTATTGTTGAACAACGCACAGGAGAAATCTCCCACTGGCACTACCTTGCAGGTCAAAACGTAAGACTGGTTACACACTACAACTACAACTACGACTACTACGAGGGACGAACGGGTGCCGCTTAAGGAGCTTCGCCCCTAAAAAAAAATACGGACAACTACATCGCGCAGGCACTGGCGAGCTTGTTTTTGTCTAGATGGCTCATGTGATATAACGTGGCTCTCGTCCACAAATAGCGATGCGTATACACCTAATCTATGCTCATTAGAGCTCTCAATGTGGAAAAGGACGAAAAATGTCATGGTAGCTTTATGGAGGCGGCTTAGCAGCAGTATCGGCTTGAGAAGAAGGGTTCAGCCGGCGTTGATCATTTCGCATGAAGACGTTTCTATAGCAATATCTTGTATCTTAAGATATACGATACAATATTGATGATTGATATGTGGGGTTTAACGTCCCAAAACCACTATATGATCATGAGAGACGCCGTTGTGGAGGGCTCCGGAAATTTTGACCACCTGGGGTTCTTTAACGTGCACCGAAATCTGAGCACACGGGCCTACAACATTTCCGCCTCCATCGGAAATGCAGCCGCCGCAGCCGGGATTTGAACCCGCGACCGGTGGGTCAGCAGCCGAGTACCTTAGCCACTAGACCGCCGCGGTGGGGCTACGATACAATATGGAATGTTTCGGAAACAAGATATGAACACTGTCTTTGCAAGACGTGTCGTGTTAGAGATACCAGATACGCGAAGAGTATCTAAGATACGTGTCTCTGCGATACTGCTCAGCTCTGGACGGTCGTCGGCATTCGCGTTGGCGAAACAGGTCGAGGAAATAGGAGCACAGAGGGAATTCGTGACGCTGTTCGCAACACAATTACACAATGAAGGAGAATGAATGAATGAATGAATGATTGAATGAATGAATGAATGAATGAATGAATGAATGAATGAATGAATGAATGAATGAATGAATGAATGAATGAATGGCGAGAATATGTTCAAGTGATATCCAACAACATATACCCAGAGAGTGGTAAACAAAGCTTGCCATATCAACTTGATCATCACGTGTAAACTTATACCAACGACTAAGCAATAAAAGTGCATATTTTATGAAAAGTGAAAGAGAAATAAACACGGAAGGGTAATTTAACGACGCCCTCCAGGAGAATAAGGAATCGCTTCAAAAAACTACTTTTTGTGGTGCACATAACTGGCTGCAAGACGGAAAGAATACTAAGGTATCTTGTCCACGAAGCAGGTAGTACCAAGTCACGTTCCCGAAAATGTGGCGTGCGTGAGTTGATTCTGAATTAGAACCACGGACGCGCTCTTCAAACTTCTAGAACTGGAACTTTCATTATGAATGTAGTGAGGGGGAGCAAACATGCACTCCGCAAATACGGCAGTGTTTGCTGCGTTTTCTTACCTATTTCTGTTTTCATAAAACTTATACCAGCTTCATTCTCTTCAGTATATTACCGTATACTTCTTTCAATACACACAAAAAAATACAGATTAAAAGCACTGTGTGTGAGGCAGACTACGCAGTCGTCTGAATCAGGCTACACATAAAAGAGAATTCAATGGCAGATGCATAAGTGAGTGACTGTTGTAATACCATTCAGCAAAGTTCTGGAGTTCGTTCTCTGGTTAATCTGGACTACTAATTATTCGCACACCTTCAGGTGAAGGCTTCATGTTCCGGCAGTTGAGATTTTTCTTTAAACTTACACTGCAAGAACGTTCAGCAGCTTAAAATCTTTCACCGATGTCACACGGTCTCTGCTGATCCCGATCGGGCTTTACCCGGATCAAATTTCTTGACCTTGATTGACTTCTTTACGCCAGTCTCAGAAGATAGCCAATCACTGTTCAGAGCTCCAATCGCACACTAGGGCTTTCCATGATGAAGTTAGCGAGCTAAGTTTGAGTGATGTTTGATGACATTTCAAGGCGCTGGCACACTCGCTATTTCGCATAACGTGATGAAACGCTGGACTTGCCGAGAGTGCCATGGCGAGTTTATAAAAAAAACAAGTGATCCGACTACCCATGCTACTCTCATCACTCCCCCTCCCCGTTTTCTCCTTTCTTTAAAATGTTTCTTGTATTATAGTTTCTCAGTAGCACTATATGCATCCTTGCAGTTAGTGCAAAATTACGCCTAGCATTTGGATAAGTTAAGATAAGAATGAGGATAGAGACGTAGTTCACAAGTATTTATAGGGGCTTCAAGTGCTTACGTATACTGTTTCAATAAACTTTGCTATGTGGGTAGGCTCAATCGACCATGCGAATCCATTGTTGCACGTCGTTGCATTCTCTATTTGTGCTTTGTTGTCTTGTCTGAGCAACCAGGACGGCTTATGGCTAATAGTGTTATGAAAAATAAGTAGGATTTAATGTCCAAAAACCGCTATATGGTTATGAAAGACGTAGTAGTGGAGGGCTCCGGAAATTTTGACCACCTGGGGTTCCATGACGTGCACCCAAATCTGAAACTTATGGTTCTCCAATAGTATAGAGTGCACGTGGTATTCTAAAGCACTTTTGATTCACCCTGACCAGGAATAGTCTGGTGAACTTTACCGCGGCATGTCCTACTGCTTGCTCTCCTATGATAGGGCACGCATGGTATCAAATCCGTTAACCATTTGCTTTAAACAGCTACATAAAGCCATGGCCCCTCGATAGAAAAAAACGACACAAATTTGTAGGACCGATCGGCACGCGTGATCTCCAGAAGCCGCTTTGAACCGCTAGTGCTCTATTCACACCTTTCGTATTACATGCAGCTGAACTCCAAGCACGATATGTGAACTTGTACACTGTCGATTTTTATGAAAGGGAACACGCGCACACGTGGCCTGTGCTCTGTTGCAGCTGCATACAGCATCATAAACCGACAGCCAAAGAAAGCACATCGGCTTTTGGCTTCATATATTGCAAAACAAAATAACGAGTCATGGCCGTTTTCTAAGCGCTGCTAGATAACACTGCCCCTCTATTCTGATAACGGGAGGTGCCGCCAAAGGTGGGCATGCTGTTTGTATCTCTCGTTTGATGGAGCTGTAAACAGCTGCCACAGGCTATGCGCTTGCGTGTTCCCTTTCAATTAAAAATGGCAGTGCACAACGTGAGACACACATACAAACAAACGACGTCCTCGTAAACGACTGAACACGCCATTAACACGTCAATGTACTTCACGGCACGCAACAACCCAGTTGCAACGCTTTTGTGTCTAGCGGTGAGCAATCAATCGAGCTCGTCGCACGCGAACGTGAAAAATCACTCCACGTCGAGAATAACGCGCTGTACAAGATAGCTCAGCAGGTTCAAACGACACGCCTAGTCTCGGAACACGCTCCACTAAGGCTACGCCCTTTAAGCGTCAAGCGTGCTAAACAGCGACGCATATAAGAGCAACACTCCCTTTAAAGATAGCACTTCTCCGGAAGCTGAGGTTCTGAAGGTTCAAGCCCAATCAACTAACGACTTCCCGATGAAGTCTTCGTTGTTCGTCTTTTTCGGGGTTCTTGTGGTCACCTCTCTCGTTTTGTGCCAAGACGAAGGTGAGTACCCCATTCGTTCCAACTTATGAACGATGAAAGTGTAGCGGTAAGCTTAGGAAAGGGTTGCACAGGCCAGCCACAGTTCGAACGAAGGCAAATGTTGGTTCGTCACGAATATGTGATAGCTGCCTATAAAAACTGTGTACTGCCTATATACAATGTATACTGCCTATATATGTGTACTGCTTATATAAAAAGGAAGTGGAAGCATATGTGTAGGCCTGCTGTCCCTGGTCCTACAGGAGACTGAAATCACGCTTGTATGGGCCTTGCACTACCGTGTGTCCTATCTGTCAGCCATCCTATACTTTAAAGCGGTATAAATTCATGTTGACAACGTTACCGTGCACAGTAATGTGCTCAACGTCCAATTAACACGATTGTATGGATGAATACAATGGTCACCCGAGAGAGCGCAGTCCTGTCGTTGACTGTCTACTTTAGGTGTCATGTTGTATGTTGCGCTGGACTTGCGTGTGTCTTAGACCCTTGGCTGTTCGGAGCCGACTTCTCTCAAGAGGGTTCATTAACCTAAGGTGTTCTTTCTAGTCAATTGGGAGCGTGCCGATGTACGCTCTTCAGTAACGTGGCGATAACTGTCTTCCCCGGGTGGTGTCGATGAAATGTAGCAAAGGCTGCATTTCCGAAAGAGCAAGAACGAACCTCACATGCTCATAGCTTTTTTTTCCACTGAGCAACGGCTGGTCTATTTTGTAATTTTTGAGCCCGCCTTGGTGGATGATCAGTGCTAGAGTTCTAGGCTGCTGACCCGAAAGTCAAGGGTTCGATACCGACCATGGCAGTCGCATATCGATGAAGGCAAAATGGTAAAAGTTCATGTGCTGTGCGATTTCAGTGCACGCTAAGGAACACCAGATGGTCAAAATTTCCGAAGTCTTCTACTAGAGCGTCAGTCTCACAATCATATCGTGATTTTGAGAAGCAAGACCCCACATGTCACTGTTATTACTATATGTAACTTTTAATGCGTATATATATTCAGTATGTTGGTGGAACAACTACATTAGTCCGTGTATAACGAAACAAAAAAACTAGAAATAGGTGCGCTGATCCTGGAGATGCTGCGATAGATTTGCAATAACTTACAGTTCAATACCAGCTTGCTCCGAGCCCGAACACGCGTGAGGCAGCTAATAATAAACCACCACCGCTTTAGTTTTTTTTTTTTCAGACATGCTATACTTGAACAACTATGACAAAAACTGACTGGTTAGAAATCGCTTTCAGTGGATACCATCTCACGTTGGAATTGAAGGCAATGAAAAATCTGATGCTCTTCCACGTGAAGCATGAACATGCATTCCAAATATAACAGTTCATAAAGATTACCAGTACCGCAAGGATGTAATACGCAGTTACTTCAGAGCAATCCACACATTTTCACATCAGTCATGCGTATTCCACGAACCTTCTAAAGAACAAGTGACGCTACTTTACCGCATGAGGACTGACGTACTCCGCATGCACGCCGTCTTGGTCATTCAAAACTGGGCAAGACGCTTCTCAGTTTTGAACCATTCGCAACATCGAGCATTATTTCTGGCTGTTCCCAAAGTTTGAGAGGTAAAAGACAGCGATGGTACGCAACTTGCAAAAAGGTTGTCACAGGCACGGCGCATTTGAAGGTCTCGTTTTTCCTCAAGGGCTCGCGACTACGAGGTGGAATGTGCAACGGATTCTCATGGTTTTCCTGCGAGACACGTGGCTGTGTTGCGTTTGGTGATGCACCCCTGTAGTTCAGGAGATGCTCAGGCGGAACAACTGCCGGCCATTTAGGCCAGGATAACACCATCTGTCGAAACACCACAACCATGACCACCACGACCACCATTACCACCTCCTATGGTGTTGAAATCCTCTTCACAGCATTGTGGCTTTAGGTTATATCTAGATGGTGTAGGCCACAGAGGTAAATCAAAGACAGTGTTCTTTAAAGTGTTTACTCAGTAGACTTTTTTATTTCAGTGGATACTTTTCTTTGTATAGAACTATAGAAGCGGGGAACCAAAGCCAATCGTCTCTGCCAGTTCTTTATATTCCACAATTAGAGCACGTTGAAATTAGCAGTCTACTTGGTCAGATCCTACAGACTACAGCCCTTTGTTCCACCCCTAACGTCTGTGTGAGTGGCTTCGGAGAGAGTGCAATATTAAACCGACCCGCTGAATAGTAGAAGAAAGCATAGTTCTTTATTCCTCGTGGGAGGTCTACTCTTCGGGCCAGAGGATCGTATGACTAACTCTGGCTGGTAGTGTCGTCATGTCCAGGGATGTCGGCCAGGGGCTTCCGCACATCGCGGGTCCAACCTTTTTTTTAAATCAAATATTCAGCGTATATAGTTGTTTCTGCTCACTCTTCTCCGTGAGCAGCACAAAACTACATCTGGCCTTGTGTTTATTTTTTATCCTATTCCCCAAAACTGAAAGCTATAGCATTCATCAAAGACATGCACTACTTATTCGCACTATAAGGCATTGCTAACATTGCGCTTCCTTTGCAGAAACGGCTGCAGCGGACCTCCAGGTCGAGCTGAACGACGCTCCTTCGATGTCACGGGTTCGGCGTGGTGGTGGTGGCGGCGGCGGTGGTGGTGGCAAGGGAAAAGGCAAAGGCGGCGAGAAGTCTAAAGGAAAAGGTGGCGCAGGAGGAGGTGGCCATAGCGATTGATTATCGACATCAGGTTAAACCCGGAGCAGATGCCTAACGATAATCTATATGCAATAAAATTGGGTTCACCATTGCACGAGAGGAGTATCTTTTTGCAGAAATGCAAAAGTGACTCACCGTAACAAACACAAATCACATTTTAATAAAACCAGAAATAATGGAACTGAGAGACGAACAGGAGTAGAGGAGCTCGTAGGTTGTAGTAAGACACACACACAGAGAAAATAATAATATTTACACACAAACCTTTCGATACAATACCACGCGAAACGTATACGAAACAAACTTTAGCATCAAAATTTCTTAAAGCTGAGCATGTTTCTTCCTACCGAAACACGAAAATGCTTTCTAACACGAAAATGCTTTATGACAGGGTCTATCAAGACTTCACTAACATATTTTCATCCCGAACACGACGTTGTGAAACGTATACGAAAGATGACAAAAAATGTAGAAAAAAGTTTTCTCATTCGGAATCGAACCCATCACTCTCGCTCCACAGCGCGTGGCGCTACACGACTCGGCCACAAAGTGTACACGTTGCTCCTCTTCCTAAAGGCAAGCTATTTATATACACCATTTAACGCTGGTGGAACGCAGATCTCGGAGGGAATTCAGCGTGTTCTCGTAATTACCGGTGAAATGGCGTGAAGTACGTGAAGGGCACCTTTTAGAAGCATCCTCTTTTATTTGCCCCACTCGTTGCGATGCGCACGCCTTTACTTTGGCCTTCAGGGCATCGTCGCCCGTGTACCGGTGCTCCTTTCGTGAGGAGAGTGCACTTGTGCTTTCACCGCCAATTCTGCGTCAGGTTACAGTGCATACGAAGGTCACTTCACTCGCTGCAGCGGCCACGTTCACCAAAGGAGCACGCCACTCAAACACATAGAAGTAACAACTGTGACTGTTGTTAGCTTGAGCTTTTCCGATGTATACTACCGGGATTCATGCGTCCTTTTTTTAGATTGAGCAATGCGCTTCAAGTGTCCAGCTGCTTGCCGTTCTCCGCGTGAGATTCCAATATGTTGCTATCACATTCATTACTTAGTGCTTGTGGGACGTTTGCATGGGCTCGTTGATGTCACCTTTGCGCAGGGTTCACGATATGTAGTGAGTAAATATGTGTTAACAACTTCAGCTACCACAATGGTTAAAATATGATCATAGGCGTTAGTCATGGGGATAGAGATGCACTACTATAAGCATCAACGTGGATGTGTCCAGGTCAAACGATGATATATCGGCCAAATTCGAATAGACAGTGCACAAGCTTTCATATATCAATGCGCAATAAACACTCAACTACCTCTTAGAGGACAAGTTTCACTTTCATGTTCTACCGATTCTTGCGACTGAGGGATTATCATGCTTTTTTTATTTCTTCTTAAACAGAGCGAGTTCAAAAAGTAGGTTCACGCAATCAAAGGAAATAGCTTCGTCCGAGCAGCATTTCTTACCATGGAAACGAAAAAACTAAACCACTTGATTTAGCGCCCTTCTGCACAATGTTTCAGTTCACAGTGGGCGGGCAATAGAGAGAGAGATAAATAGAGAGGAAAGGCAGGGAGGTTAACCAAGCTTGGCTCGGTTGGCTACCCTACACTTGGGGTGGGGGAAAAGGGGAATAATAGAACGGAAAGAGACAGAAAAGAAAAGGAGTAAGAAAGAGAAGCATAAATAGTCAGCTCGAGACTACACAGCACGGCCTCGCACAGTTCTTTCACAAGCGGTCGTGAAGTTTGGTGGTCCTTAAAAAGTACAAGAGGGCTCTCGTGGCTTTGCGCGTATGAAAAGCCGTCGGCCAAGGTCCCAGAATCTTCTCTTCTGTAAGCGGCCGTGAATCCAGCTGACAGAGCTTGGCTTCCATAATACGTCGTTCAGTCTGGTATGCTGGGCAATGACATAGAATGTGCTCAAGCGTTTCCTCGCAGGCGCAGATGTTGCATGCCGAAGTGCTCGCCATTCCAAGAAGACGAGAGTACGAATTCGTAAATGCACGCCCAACCTCATGCGACACAGTAAAGTTTCAGCGCATCGTGGGAACCCGGATGGCAAACGAAGTTGCAAGTTTGGGTCGGTAGAGTACAGGTGCGTGTTCGCGAAACCCTGCGTATTCCATTGTAGGAGAGATATACGGCGAGCAAGTGATTGTAGCAGCCTTGCAGCGTCCGTTCTTAAGAGTGGTATGGGTGTGCGCTGGTCTTGGTCATGAGCCGATCGAGCAGCTTCATCCGCGCGGTCATTGCCGACGATTCCGCAATGACTCGGCAACCACTGAAATACAATATCGTGACCTTCCGCGACCGCTTCGTGGTAGTCGTGCCTTATCTGATATAGTGATTGTTCATGTAGCCCGGGCTGCATAACAAACCGTAGTGACTGTAAGGCTGACCTGTAGTCGCAAAACATGGCCCATTGGTTAGGTTGCTGGCGAAGAATGTACTTTACTGCACCTTGAAGTGCTGCGAGCTCTGCTGCTGTCGACGTCGTGGTGTGAGAAAACTTGTACTGAAGCAACACATTTTCAGATGGAACAACCACTGCTCCTGTGGAGCTGTTGGAATTAGTGGAGCCATCGGTGTAAACATGTATGCGGTCGAAGTATCTTTCGTCCAACAGACGCAAAGTCAATTGCTTCAGGGCTAGCGTTGGCATGCGTGCCTTCTTAAAGATTCCAGGAACTGATAAGCGCACGTCAGGTTGACGAAGACTCCATGGCGCAGTTGCTGGATGCATCGCAAGTTTGAAGCCAGGCGGTTGTATGTCTTGATGTTTTGTCACGATACCACAGTACGAAGAATGGGGCCTCCGAGCTGTCAAACACGATAAATGATGTGACGGTAGCCGTGATAAATGCCGAATGTGCGCTCTCAGCGTCTCGACAATGATTTGCGTTGTGACTGGTTGTTCTTGTGCAATTACAAGAGTTGACACTGTCGATGAGCGTCTTGGAAAGCCAAGGCATGTCCGAAGTGCTTGGGCTTGTACGCTTTGCAGTGCACGGATGTTAGTCTTGCACGTGTTGGACAGGACAGGAAGGCTGTACCAGAGAGTTCCGAGAAAGAGGGCTGTATAAAGCTGCAGCATGGAGTGCACGGATGGGCCCCATGATTTCCCGGCGACGAACTTGAATACATTCTCAATGCCAATGAGCTTTTTCTTTAGGTATGTGACATGCGGGCTCTAGGTTAGGTCACGATCTACGATGACGCCTAAGAATCTATGAGTGCTCTTATATGGGATTGATCTGCCATCGATGCACAATGAGTAGAAAGACATCGGTTTGCGTGTAAACGCCACCGCTGCGCATTTTTCTGGGGCGATAGTCAAACCTTGCTGGCGAAGGTATGTCGATATCATTGTTGCGCGTACTTGAGGCCGTGTCACGCCGACGCCCTAATGCAGATATCGTCAGCGTAGAGATATATATAAGCCGTCTGTGGCAGCATTTCAGTGAGCCCCACGAGAACCAGGTTGAAAAGTGTTGGACTCAAAACACCACCTTGTGGCACCCCACGACTTGTGAAATACTTATTTGTAGACCCATCTTCAGTTAAAACGAACATGGATCTCTTTGTGAGGTAGCTTCTTACCCATCGAAAGACACGACCTCCAAGTTCAGCTGCTTCAAGAGCATTGAGAACAGCCTCGTGGGTCACGTTGTCATAGGCACCCTTCACGTCTAAGAACGGAACTACCGACAGCCGCTTCTGAGCTTTCCGATGCTGAACAGAGGTCACTAAGTCAATAACGCTATCAACTGAGGACCGACCTCGTCGAAAACCAGCCATAGTATCAGGATAGATGTTATAATGTTCCAGGTACCATTCCATGCGTGTAAGCAGCATCCTCTCCATGACCTTACCAACGCAGCTTGCTAGTGCTATAGGCCGGTATGACGCCAAGTCTAATGGAGACTTTCCGGGCTTCAGCAAAGGCACCAGGCGACTACACTTCCACTCATCAGGAACCATTCCATCATGCCAAGACTTATTGAAAATGTCCAGGAGACAGCACTGTGCCTTCGGGCCTAGGTGACGTAGGGCAGTATAGGTCACTCCATCCGGACCTGGGGACGATGAGCGTCTGCATGTGTTCAATGCCGCATGAAGTTCTTATATGGTGAATGCAACCTCCATTTGCTGATCTCGTGCGACTGGAACATCCTGTGGCATTAGATCGATCGGTATAGGGATGTCGCCGGCGATCTTTGCACAAAATTCCCAGAAACATCAAGCTGTGAGCGACGTTGATGTAGCGCCAGAGCGGCGAAGGAGTGACGCTGTTGCGGATGCGAGTGAATACCTCGAAGAGTCCTCCATACGGGAGACAAGGGTTTTCGAGGGTCTTGCGAGTCACGAAAATTCTTCCACCGTTGTTCATGAAGTTTGTGCATTCGACGCTGGATTTTTTTCTGAATGCGTCTGGATTCTCTGAGGTCAGACATAGATTTCGTGCGTCTGTATCGTCTTTCGGCACGTCGGCGGACCGCTCGAAGTTGTTCCAACTCTTGGTCGAGTGCCGTGCGTCTCGATTCTTTTGAACATATCTTCGTGGAAGTCTCCATTGCACAACTAATCACTTCGTCAATGGATTCCGGTGGTTCGTGTATGCACTTGCTCTCCACTGATATCTGAAACTCTTGCCAGTCAATAAGTCTTGAATGTCCAGGGGAAGGAGAATCGTCCAAACCTCTGACTGTCACGTACGTGGGGATATGGTCACTGCCATGTGTTTCAATATATGTTAACCATTGGACTTTCGTGACAATGCTCTGCGACACTAATGTCAAGTCCAGGCAACTGCTGTAAGTTACTCCTCGGAGATAAGTAGGGCTGCCGTCGTTCAGCACCTGAAGCCCGTGCTCTGATGCGAGATCAACTAGGTCCTTGCCTTTTCGATTTGTCCTGATGCTTCCCCACAATGGATGATGGGCGTTGAAGTCACCCATCAATACCCAAGGTGCTGGAGTCATTGCAAATATACCATTCAATATCTGTTGATCTAGTCGACCTGACGGCGCTATATATGCGCCTATCAGCGTAAATGACAACTTCTTTTTAACACATA